CCCTGGCGGGAGAGCCCCAGCCTGCGGCCCGGGCTGCCCCTGCGCCTGCGGTGCCCTCGCTGCCCGCTCCACGGCATCCCTGCTCTTACACAGGCCGCACCAACCACGGCTGCTCGTGCTTCAGGGCCAGCACGGGCTCCCCAGGTGCCATTTGCAGTTATTACAGGAAACCCATTTAAATGATTCAGTCAAACATCCATGTGGGCAAACGGTTCCTAACCTTTCCCTGGCGCTCTGTGGCAGGATCATAACAGGGCAAATTAATCCTCTCCCTATTATTTTCTTACTACTGTGCTCTTGAAACCCAAAATGAAAAGTCATTAATTGAGGCTTTTATTCTAGAGCTGCATGACCTTTGCAACACCCACAGATATGCTGAAGTTTCCTTAGGAGAGAACGAAAAAAAAATGCCGTAATGAGCTGAATTCCTGCAGTTTGCTCCTCGGTTACGTGAGGCTGAGCGGCAGGAGGGACATTACAAAGTTCCCTGAGAAGAACCGCACACGACAGAGTGCGCAGCCGCTCTTGTGCCGCTGCGGCTCTGCGCGGGCGGCCTTCGGGAGCGCCACGGGCGCCTCCCTCCGGAGGCACCGCGGCCTGGAGCCATCGCACCCTCCGGAGCCATCGCACCCTCCGGAGCCATCGCGCCCTGCGGAGCTGCGTCCCCCTCAGGGCTGCGAATAGGTGTCTGGGTACCCAGTGATCTCGCCAGGGCTAGTGCATCACGTAACGGGGTTCAAAGCCTCAAATTTAGGACTTTTTTCCTCCCCCCAAACTGGAGCCTGAAGAATAGGCTGAGTTTAATGGCAAGGATCTATCTTCCCACAGAGATGCTTCAAAAATGCTACAGTCACTTTGCTTTTAGGTTTCTCAAACTTCTGCTCTCCAGAGCTGGCACCCACATTTCAGGGCAGGACTGACCCTTTCTAGAGCAGCTGACGTCCTCCTGGGGCATCCTCCAGGGCATCCTCCTGGCATTGAGGATGTGGCGCTGGAACCAGCCTCGGCATCCGCTCCCCTGAGCCCCTGGGGGAAGGACACGTGCCCATCCATGTGTGTTCCCAAAAGTGTTTGAGGGGCCAGTGTGGAAGGGACTGAGGAGATCTGTCTGTTGGGCAATGGCACTCCACGTATTCAAGACATGAACTGAAGAGAAGATCATCTTAAGTGTTATGTGCCCGATGATACTCTGTGGATGTGGAGCTATGCTCTAAAATCCTTTGGGTGTTCTTGAAAATATTACCACTGGGGCTGGGGTAGGGCACTTAAAAATGGGAAAAAATAGGTAAAATCATCAGTTTATCGAGGAAGGTATACATTAAAAAAACTCAATACCTGTAAGCCATTCAGGCAGTTATCTTTGAACCAGGAGAAACATCCTGTAGAAGCTTTATTGATTTTTCATTCTTGAATGTTTTATCATTATTAGTCTGTGTAATAGAACTTAAACAACACCACATTAGTTCATCAGCCTAAATTACAGTGGCGGATGTAATTTAGGTGTTATGCTATGAAAAGCAGAACATTTTAAAATTGCTATTAGGACCCAGCACAACTTCCTCATTCTGTGTGTAGTCATGGACATCTATCAATGTAATACTGCAGCTGTGAGCAGTGCGAATCAACCTGGAAGCGTTCCTCTAAATTGGTTTGCAGTTTTCCACTTGCTGGTGTGTTTCTGTGCTAAGAAAGCAGGTTGGTGAAGCTGCCTCACAGAGGCTCTGAGCAGGGCCCTGCTGCGAAAGGCTGGAAGGCGTTTGCGGCTCCGCGGCGCACACGGAGATGGAGGACGGCCCCGCGGCACGCGGGGTGTCCGGGGAACACGGGCCCGGCCGGGAATCCGCCTGCGGCCGCCGGAGCCACTGCCATGAACGGGAGCAACTTCTTCCTGCCAGACTTCTTGGCTCAGACCCTTGGATAAAGCTGAGGTTAAACGCACTTCGCTTTTGTTGTTTTTCAATTAGCTGGGAAATACCTGATACAGAATATAAGTATCTTGTATAACAGCAACATTAAGGTGGGTCGAGTGGCTAGTCACCTGTCTTACAAATGCGTGCAATTATTAACACGTTTTTTTTTTAATCCCAGACCTTTAGGCATGGCTGCCATATGGCACATTAATCACCATTTCCCTTCCGTTTCTGACATGCACCCTGGAGGATACGAAGGAAGCTCCCTCGGGATCCTGACAGACAGCGGCATTTGAAACTCTTCACACAGCGATGACACCAGGACATTCAACAGGAAACTGCCCACGAGGGTCCTGCACAGAGAGGGCGTTTCTGTACAGAGCAGACACACAGACAGGAGGGCAGAACAAGAAAGCTGAGCAAGTGTGAGGGAGGAAGGGGTAACAGAAGCGAATCAAAAGCAAAGTCTCTACCTCCTGCTTCATTTAGACATATCAAAGAGCAATGACATGTCAGTACCACGGCTGAGCAAGGCTTTTAAACTGGTCAAGATACCGTTAAGCTGAGGTAAGCAATTAAGCTTTTTCTCCTTTTGGTTGTTCTCATGTCTAATTAATGTCTAATTATTTCAATGTACCTGCAGTTATAGCTGAACCCAAGTGCAATGACTGAATTTTAACAGGATCTTGTGTCATCATTATAATTAAAGCTATTGTTCCGGTTGAAGCAAGAAGATGCTTTAATACAGTTAGGTTTTCCTATTACTGTCACTCAGATATTCCACTGATAGGAAATCAGAAATTGTGCTTTACTCAGTGTTGTAATACATCAGCAGTGTAATATGCCTATTAATAAACAAAATATGTTCAATAAACTCCTGAGCAGTGGAAAAGCAACCAATTGAGTTGGGAAAGATGTCTATTTAATTCAAATATGATGGCTTGCTATTATATAATGTTCCATATACTTTGCAAGATCAATAATAAGAAAATCACAGTTAGCCTTTGAGCAGTAATAGCAAATCCATCAAAACAGCAATATAACCAGAATGTGCTCGGAGTCCTTAACTAATGGTCCATCGATGGGCTTGGTGTACAGGGACACACCGTAGGGGCTTCCCACAGAGGAACGTTTATACGAGATTCATTCCAGTTTGCTGCCAGAGGACACGGACGTGACCCTCTCCTTTCCAGAGCCGCGCGGAGCTTTCCCGTGTGCTGTGCTCCCGGGACGCGCGCGTGGAACGGGAACACGGCGGCTGCGCCAAAGCGGGGGCCGGTGGCGAGTGCACGGCCAGGACGCAGCCTGCCAGCCCCTGCGGGCGCCCGGGAAGCTCCCTGTGCTCCGTGCGGCCAAGGCTCCTTTCCGGCAAGGGGAACATTCACTGCCTCTCTGCACTCACCGGAACCGAACACATGAGGTGTAATAAAGTGACATCTTTAGGCAGGCACGAAATATCAACAAAACTAATCCCTGAGGTGGCAGTGGGGGGTTGCCCTGTCTCCTAGAGATCAGAAATATGAAGAAGCCGAACACTAAAAGATGGAAAGGGAATGGGAGCAAATTTCCTTCCCAAAGATGTTACAGGGCACAATCATAATTACACCATAGCAGCCAGCCACCATGTTCTTTATAGCACTAGGGAAGCTACTGCTTGAAGCCCCTGCGGGCCCCACGGGAACGTGTGGGGCTAACAAGAAACGCGCCCACCGCACGGAGGTGCTGCAGGAGCCACGGGCAGCAGCTCCCGCTCCACGGCCTCATCTGCCTCCAGGCTCTCGCAGCACTCAGGTTCTCCACCAGAGCAGAGCGTTGCCACTCAACTCGATTTTAACATGAATGACTTCCCGTCCTCAGCACGTTGTGCCTGTTTTTTAAAGCTTTCATTCTCAGTGTTTTGTCCCAGATTCCAGTCACAGTCCGGGCTTCGAAGAGAGACTCGGATCTGTAGAATCAAAGATCGACTGCTTGTGCAGTCACAGACTCTCCTGAACTTTCTCCTTTTGAATTTTCTATTTAAAACTCATCTTTCAAACAGGCTTTCATATATTTCCTGTTGACTACGGTACCATTCAAATTTCTGCCACAGTGTTTTGTAACTCTCCTCTGCCATTAGCAGAAAACTATCAAAAACTCACAATTGTAGAGGGCTTCATCCAACGAAACATGAGGCTGCTACAAAGCAGCTCTCTGTCCAACACTCTGTGCTTACACTCCATGGAGAGAAACAGGCGCTTTTTGGTGCGGTTCTGTCTGTTTTAGCTGTCTGTTTTTCAGAGGAGCTGAGTATTGTTCCAGGTCCTGCTGACTAGACCTCGGCTCCTGCAGGGGAGCCCAGGGCTCTACAGCTACGCGCAGGCAGTGGGTTCTGCAGCTAGTGTCAGCAGCCACCCAGCAGGACCGGCACCCACAGCTGATCCGTGCCAAGCAGAACCTACTTTGAACTCTCCATCTTCTCCCAGCACTGGTGGGGCTCTTGCACTACAGGCTCTGCATGGTGTTGTTTCTTGGCACTGTGTTTTATTCAGGAATCACTCAGGTTAGTAACCGCTTGGCACTGCACATGGGCTTTCCACCTGGCGAGCTCCAGTGAACTTGCTGCATCGTTGGCCCCTTTGGCCTCCAGTCTTCACGGAGCTGCACTTACGTATGACGGAGAACCGGATCTTTGCCCAGTTCTGGCACCGTCCAGGCCATCTGGGTCAATCACCCCCTTCAGCAGCCAAGCAGTGCCCCAAGGCACCTCCTAATGTCTCTTCTGAAACAACTCTACACTACACGGAAAAGTCATTACACATAATTTTAATTGTAAATATTGCAAAGTACTGACATATACTCCACCTCTACAGTGTGGGGCTTTTTTTTTTGTTTTTTTGTTTTTTTTTCCAGGTGGCAGCTGTTTAGCAGCATGGAGACTCCAAATCTCTATTCTACAATAGAGATGGTGCAAGTGCTAAAGTATGAGGTTTATCCACCATGAGCTTTACCACAGATTCAAGTATTTGGGAAGCAAGGAATTCTGTGGAGAATCACGGAAGTTTCCCAGCCTCCAGCTGCCTGGTGGGTAGTTGGTTCTCACTCTACGAGCGCCCTAACGATGCTGGCCCCTCTCTGTGGGGACAGAAGAGGGGCAGCTACAGCCATCAGTGGTGGTATCTTGCACTAGATGACATGTAACTAGGAGAAAAAACAAAACTGCACAGAGATCTTGTTCTAGAACAGCCCACACAACAACACTTGTGCAAAACTTTTATTAAGTGGTGTCTTACATATTGATGTTTACATAGCAGCTGATCCCACAGGGTCACAGGAGGGAAGATGTTCTCCAGTGACCTGTGTTACACACAAACGTCCAAGACTCAAAATGTGCAGATATGAGTGTACAGAAGAATTGCAGGAAATCCAGGCAGATGGCTTAGGTTGTCTCCAAAACCTTAACCTGGTGCTAATTCTTACCTAGCTGAGTCCTAGAGGCAGCTCCTTTCTTTGCTGCTGGCATCAGCATCAGGATGGCTTCAAACCAACGTCACCAGGCAAAGAGCCCAAGTTATCCCAGCATCAGTCAGGAGTCACTGTCACTGCTGGGTGACCCAGAGCAGCTTGGGCCAGCATTACTCGATGTTCCGAAGCAACGAGGTCTCCGCTCTCTTACCGTCTTGGGCGCTGGGCACTGCTTTCTTCACAGTTGCTGAGTTTGGCAGGGTTTTGCTTTTTGTGGACGTTGGCTTCCTTTGTTTCTGATGAGTGGTTTGGAGAGATTTCAACCCCAGCATCTCACAGTACTTATTGCACTGGTGAAGGACTTTGAACTGCTCAATGAAGGAAACGGAGCAGTTGCCTTTAAAGCCTTTGTATCTGTAGCAAGAAAGACAAAAACAAAGCCAAATGGAGCTTCAAGTCTCACTGTCAGCACAGGGGAGGCAGAGTATGGCTGTTGATTCATAAGTAACTTGGAAACATTAAGCAAGACTTTCCGTTGTGCTGTGTTGAGAAGCACTAGCTCTCCTTTCACAGACCATCAAACTGAGCCCCTGAGAGGTGACACAAACCAGGGAGTCGGTAGGGACAGAATAAAGAGAAGGCCTCGAGAGTCCTGGCTCTTCTGAGGCCTGTGCTGTGGCTCTCGTGGCAGGAGCCCTGCCCAGGACAGCTCTGCAGGCAGCGCCGCGGCCCTGCGCTGCCCTGCGCTCGGGAGCCGCAGGAGGGCAGCGGGGCAGGAAGGAGCAGGGCAGGAAGGAAGCAGGGTAGGAACGAGGCAGGGCAGCAGGGTAGGAGGGCAGCGGGGCACCAGGGCAGGAGGGCACCAGGGCAGAGGGGCAGCTGCATCCCCCTCCTGCCCTGCCCGACGAGGCTGCCCCAGCGCCGGCCCCTCCACGCGGGGAGCCCGGGGCCAAACTAGTCACCAGGGAGCGGAAGGGAGGAGCAGAGGCCTCGGTGCCCCATCCCTGCTCCGCACCCTTCCAAATAGATGTGTTTAGGAGTCCTTTTTTCTTCGCATAGATACACTTTAGTTTCAAATTCTTCTCTGAAGTTAGAGTTATTGAATGTTAATTATATATTTCAATGAAATAGAGACCCAAACATGTTTTACTGCTGTTTGTCATACGGAGTTCTTCACTCCAGGCCCGTGTCTAGGTGAGCAGCGCCCTGCTCCAGGGAA